CATGTGGGCGCTGTATGAAATGAGGGCCCTGCATGTGGGCGCTGTATGAAATGAGGGCCCTGCATGTGGGCGCTGTATGAAATGAGGGCCCTGCATGTGGGCGCTGTATGAAATGAGGGCCCTGCATGTGGGCGCTGTATGAAATGAGGGCCCTGCATGTGGGCCCTGTATGAAATGAGGGCCCTGCATGTGGGGACTGTATGAAATGAAATGAGGGCTTTGCATGGATTGTGGCCCTGTATGAAAAGAGAGCCCTGCATGTGGGCGCTGTATGAAATGAGGGCCCCGCATGTGGGCCCTGTATGAAATGAGACCCTGAATGGATTGAATGCCCTGTGTTGCACAAAGTCGACTCGCTCTGACAAAGGTTAAGGAGAACATTTGGACTTAATTTGATATTACATTTTTCGACACTTAAACTGACACAGTAGTCAACTGACTTAATAAGAAATCTGACTTAGTAGTAATCTGACTTAGTAGTAAACTGACTTAGTATTACATTGACTTAGTAGTAGTCTCTGGGTGGGTAACAAATGTTTCTGGTCCACCAAGAGTAAACATTGTTGTAGACACACGATGGCTCTCTCTGTGCATACAATTTTTTGCATAAAGGACAAAGTGGCAAGTTGGGGCCTGTGATTTGATACTGCCAGGACCACTGCAATCTTTTGATGTAGTCCTCCTGGGGGAATAAAGAAAATGAGAATACATGTTTATTTACATGCATGTGTAAGGGTATATTTAATTGAACAATTACATGTATATTTACTTTACATGCTTGTGTACATTTACTGATATAATTTTTAACTAAGGATCACACACAAGCCCTGTCAGTGTGGCTACAGATACACCTTCACAGGTGGCATAAAGAGGCCCTGTCACTGTGGTTACAGAAACACTTTCACAGAGGGCCTAATGAGGCCCTGCCAGTGTGATCACAAAGGCCTTGACACAGTGCGGCTAACGGTCATTTTTTTATTATGAGATTTTTTTCCCCCTTATTTTTCTCACCTCATTCCCAGCAAGCTGTTTCAAGTAACGGGCCAAGCTCTCCGGGCTGGAGAAGTCGCCGGTATCAATGACGGAGCCGGCCGGGAACAGCTTCTTGTAGTCGGCCCCGCCCCTCACCACCGGAATCAGAGAGTTACGCTGTAAGACATTCAGCAGCTTCTCGGTCACATAATCCTTGCACAGCGAGTTCTCAAAGGACAGGTAAAATTTGTAATCCCTGTCCAGCATCCGAAGGCACTGTTCCCTATCGTCGCACCGAAGAGTTCCGCAGTCGCCGTAAATATCGACGGGGATGTGCTTGGACAGCTCGGCGGCGTACTTCTCCCTGCGGCTGTCGGTGACGCAGTGGCTCACGAACCAGGCCACCATCTTGGTCTTGTTGGAGAAGCCCTCCTTCCACCGCCGGGTATCGTCTGTCTTTTGCTCGCTGGACGCGGGCGTTTCTCTCTGCTTGGTCCGAACGTACCCGTGCCAAAATTCAGAGTCGTATCTGTACGACATGGTCCAGTCAAACTTTCCGTGCCATTTGGAAGAACCGAATCCGGAGTTCTCGGAATAAACGGGACTCTCGACGGCGAAGAAGACCCATTTCTGCCCGTTTCGTTTTTCAGGCGGGGTAACCAAGTTGAAGAGGTTCTTGTGTGAGTAGAAAACGACAGCATCCGCGTCCTTGAACCTGGTCTCGTTCACCGTCAGCTCGCATTTCTTCTCACAGGAGTCAAAGATTCGGACACCCGACGCGGGCTCCAGCTCGTAGAATTCTGGAAACTTGTAGAACAGGACGAGTTTGACCCTTCCACTCGTGGCTGGCTGGTCAGCCAACATGTGGGATTCACTGCAGTGTATGCCTGAAATGAAAAGTGAATGCGTCAGATATCAGCTGATGTCATGCCCTTTGATGGACATCCCTCTAGCAGTCAACTGAATGATGTCAGACATCAGTAGGGCTGTCAGCAAGCTGATGTCATGTCCTTTGATTGACATCCCCCTAGCTGCCAACCCCGAATAATGTCAGACATCAGTAAGGCTGTCAGCAAGCTGATGTCATGTCCTTTGATTGACATCCCTCTAGCAGTCAACTGAATAATGTCAGACATCAGTAGGGCTGTCAGCAAGCTGATGTCATGTCCTTTGATGGACATCCCTCTAGCAGTCAACTGAATAATGTCAGACATCAGTATAGGGCTGTCAGCAAGCTGATGTCATGTCCTTTGATGGACATCCCTCTAGCAGTCAACTGAATAATGTCAGACATCAGTAGGGCTGTCAGCAAGCTGATGTCGTGTCCTTTGATGGACATCCCTCTAGCAGTCAACTGAATAATGTCAGACATCAGTAGGGCTGTCAGCAAACTGAGTCATGTCCTTTGATGGACATCCCGCTAGCAGTCAACCGAATAATGTCAGACATCAGTAGGGCTGTCAGCAAACTGAGTCATGTCCTTTGATGGACATCCCTCTAGCAGTCACCTGAAGAATGTCAGACATCGGTAGGGCTGTCAGCAAACTGAGTCATGTCCTTTGATGGACATCCCTCTAGCAGTCACCTGAAGAATGTCTGTATGAATAATGCAGCAATTGGAAATTGCTTTCATGGTTAACTAAGCCTGACGCCTTTAGGCCAAACAACAAAACCAAACCAAAACAAACACAATAACAAGAACAAAAATCAATGCATAGCTTGTGTAGCAGGTTGAGACAATAGAAGTGTCCGTTCTAATATCTTAGGATTGAAAGTCGTCTTTTTCCATTTGCTACTACGCAGAGTCTTACTCTTATTTTAGAGGATTGAAAGAGTTTCCACGTCCCTCTTACTTTCAAAACAAGGGGATGGAAAGACTTTTCTTACTTGCTTCTTTGCAGATTCTTACAACAAATTTCAAATGAAGGTACATCAGTAAAAAAAAAAGTAGAAGAGATCAGATGATATTGATTTGGATTGGGGGGGGGGGTATTCGCTGGTATTCCTGGGGTGATGATGGGACCAGGAGTTATCATTAGGATGGGGCAGTGGATTAAGTGCTATTCCTGGGATGGAGTGAGGACCATGTGACAATTCGAGGATTGGGCAGCTTGCCACATAGGATATAAGTTATGAGTCAATGGGTCAGGTGACATTCTTGCTATTATGTCATGACACTTAATAATAAATTTTTTTGCACATAAAATATCCCCCCCCCCCCACACACACAACTTTTTTCTAGTGCCTGCACTACCCCCTCACCCCTGACAACCATATTAATGAATGATTGTCTAAACTTGAGTGTGACTAGACCACCCCCTGGCAATCACTAGAATGAATGATTGTCTAAGCATGAGTCTGACTAGACCACCCCCTCAATCACTAGAATGAATGATTGTCTAAGCATGAGTGTGACTAGACCACCCCCTGGCAATCACTAGAATGAATGATTGTCTAAGCATGAGTGTGACTAGACCACCCCCTGGCAATCACTAGAATGAATGATTGTCCTAACATGAGTGTGACTAGACCACCCCATGGCAATCACTAGAATGAATGATTGTCTTAACATGAGTGTGACTAGACCACCCCTGGCACTCACTAGAATGAATGATTGTCTTAGCATGAGTGTGACTAGACCACCCCCTGGCAATCACTAGAATGAATGATTGTCTAAGCATGAGTGTGACTAGACCACCCCCTGGCAATCACTAGAATGAATGATTGTCTTAACCTGAGTGTGACTAGACCACCCCTGGCAATCACTAGAATGAATGATTGTCTTAACATGAGTGTGACTAGACCACCCCTGGCAATCACTAGAATGAATGATTGTCTTAACATGAGTGTGACTAGACCACCCCCTGGCAATCACTAGAATGAATGATTGTCTTAGCATGAGTGTGACTAGACCACCCCCTGGCAATCACTAGAATGAATGATTGTCTTAGCATGAGTGTGACAAGACCACCCCTGGCACTCACTAGAATGAATGATTGTCTTAGCATGAGTGTGACTAGACCACCCCCTGGCAATCACTAGAATGAATGATTGTCTTAACATGAGTGTGACTAGACCACCCCCTGGCAATCACTAGAATGAATGATTGTCTTAGCATGAGTGTGACTAGACCACCCCCTGACAATCACTAGAATGAATGATTGTCTTAACATGAGTGTGACTAGACCACCCCTGGCAATAACTAGAATGAATGATTGTCTAAGCATGAGTGTGACTAGACCACCCCCTTGCAATCACTAGAATGAATGATTGTCTTAACATGAGTGTGACTAGACCACCCCCTGTCAATCACTAGAATGAATGATTGTCTAAACATGAGTGTGACTAGACCACCCCCTGGCAATTACTAGAATGAATGATTGTCTTAACATGAGTGTGACTAGACCACCCCCTGGCAATCACTAGAATGAATGATTGTCTTAGCATGAGCTTGACTAGATATTCCCTGCCAAACGCTAGAATGAATGATTGTCTAAACATGAGTGGCATTAGATAAGGCATGAGATATAAAGCAGCTTTTAAATTACCATTCGGATCTCTGAGTGCCCAGTTGGAGAAGAAGCTGAGGTCACCCACTGACCAGATGAAGAGGATGACAATAGTGGACAGTGGTAGTAGCAGCTTCAGGAGTGGACCTTTTCTCATTATATCTGTGGTGCAGAGAACAGGTTCAATATGATAAAAGGAACATTATGAGAACATGTAAACACATTGGAACTGATCTATTCAAAATGGCAGTCAAAAACACATCTCTTTCAACTCTCCTACACCGACTGATTACACCCCTACATCACCTCTCACCGATAAACGATATTGCTGGCTGTCGTCCATGGCTTGACATGTAATAGTTCTGGGGTGGGCGTGGTGAATATACATTTGTTTTTTGTGTTTTTTTTGTGTTATACAACTGTGTTTATTACATAAATGTGTAAAATGAATGTTATTTTAATGTCACCATTATGTCTCTTTTGCTAATATTTTTATATACAGCGCGGTGAGCCCAGCTCTAGGCTGGGGGTACAGTGCTATATAATGTATCAGTCAATTAACAATAATAATAATATATTGGGTGGTATGGTGGAAAAATAACATGTGCAATATGAGATAAGGTACGTTAAGGGGAACCATGTGAGAATCCCTGGTAACATCTACACATACAACTATTGACCCCTGAACAAATCGGCTTTGTCAATAAGTTCAGAGTGTGTTGTATCCAACAAGCTCTCGATCAACGCAAGTACTTAGCAGGCTTTGATAAGGTGGACACTCTTGATAAGGTCAACAAATCTCTTTTGTATTGTTTTTTTTTTTTTTACCAGTACGGTAATCAGTAATGGGTTTTGAAAACATTTCTCTTGGCTTGTCGGTGGGCTAAGGGTCGTAGTCGATTAGAAAGTTAAAGACTCCTAGGAGCTGTTAGAGTAGCAACATCGCTTACCGTTGCACGCTCGGATGCCAGTACTAGAACTACACAATAATATTTCTTTATTTTTAAATGATAAATTCAACAACAAAAAAAATAGTACATCTTGTATCCAGGTATAGATCGTAATATAACTATAGACAAATATGCATCCACATAGACCAGCGGTTCTCAACCTGTGGGTCGCGACCCTTTTAGGGGTCGCACGACCCTTTCCCAGGGGTCGCCAAATAAGACCAGTGGCGTAACAACGGCTTGGCACTGGGGGAGTTGCCAAGGGCGCGGCCTGCGCCAGTTAAAAAGGGCGCTGCAAAGCTGAAACTTGTCAATTTATCAAGGACGCCATTAATAAATTTCCCAATGGCGTCAAAAAACCCAGTTACGCCTCTGAATAAGACCATCTGAAAACAAATTTATCACTAACAGCTACGACGTAGCCACGAAAATAATTGTGTGGCTGGGGACATGTGAAACTGTCTTTAAAGGGTCGCGGCATTAAAGGCATTAGCAAGGTTCAGAACCACTGCCGTAGACTTATTATTATTTATGTTTTTCATTCGAACGCCTCAGACAGGGGAGTTCCCGTTTAAAAAACAAAAATTTAATTTTTTTTCTAGACCAAACTGACTTTAATTTAAATATCCTGGCTTTAACTGTTTCTTCACCGGTATTTATTTTCATTTTTTTTTTTTTAATAGGTCCACCTACACGTGTCTAACCTTTTGTTCTGAAGCCAAAACACAGTCGTAATTAGGTCTGTTAACTTACATTTAAAAAAAAAAAAAAAAAAAGAATATTTAAATTAAGAATATTTTGAAGATGTAGTAGAAATGAAAAGTTAACCTTTAAACTTTAAACGAATCAATAAAAGTACCTTTCGTTTGCACCGCCACGGCCAGTTAGAGCTCCATCAAGGCATGCCTCCATCGACGTCGATCGCAGCACGTAAACAAACCTCGGGCGGGTGGGGGAACACCAGTGTATTTGCTGTCACCTGTTGATATGTACGCAGTGGCTCTACGTCGTCCCCCCCTCAGTGTTGACAGTTGTCACAATCCTAGATCTGGATCCGTTGTATTCAATTAGCAACTGCAACAAAAGGTGGTGGTGGGGGGGAGGAGGGGGATGTGCTGGGTAGCTCGTCTATGTTGTGAATGGAGTGTGTTCAATCTGAGCTGACACGGCAGAGACCTGGCACAGCACCGATGTGCACAGGATGGAACCGTTAGGTGGGCGGGAGAGGGGGGGGGGAGGTTGAGAGGTGGGTCAAGTTCGCCTCGAAACAGGCGCATGCGTGAGTGAGGGCTCTCGCGTCGACGGGGACTCACGAACGAACGCGTGAGGAAACGGGTGTGGTATCGGGGGGGGGGGGGGG